GAAATGTGGAGAATATATTAGGGTTAGAATAGGATATTTAGTTAGTGGTACACAAAATTCAGGTAATACATGAGTAGAATATAGACAGCTCTGGTAGGTATAGATCATAGATAATTAGTCTAAGCCACTGTTCTATTAATTGTTGTATAAATGTATGTAATTTATATATGTATATACTTAATAAATAACATGAGGCAAGATCTCACTTTAAAAAAAAAAAAAAAAAAAAAAAAAAAAAAAAAAAAAAAGTAATAGGCCTTATGAAATACTCCTGCTAATGCAGGAGTATTTCATGGAGCTCATTATTTTTTAGTGATAAAAATTAGGTTTATAAGTAATTTCATTAATTAGAGATTTTAAAGTTCGTCTTAGTAGTGGGGTTATATAACTTTTGCCATTTTGCAAGAATGCAAAATGGCAAAAGTCACATGAAATGATGCAGAAAACTTGCCATGAAATGATATAGAAAACTTCCCATAAAGCGATATAGAAATTCACTGTAAAACAAAGCAATGACTACTCTAGTGAATGGCAATTCAAACAAATGAGCGAAATATATATATAAAAAAAAAAAAAAAGCTAATTTAAAAAATAGAAAGATGAAAAATGGGCAAATAGAAAAAAAAATGAAGAATGAATATAAAGAAGAAGGAAATAAAAAAAGAGGAGTGAAAAAAGAAAAAGGAAAAAAAAAGGAATAAGAAGGTAAAAAAGAGGCAAAAAGGTGAAAGAAAAAGAATGAGAAGGAAGAAAATTGAAAGGAAAAAAATGAGGAAAAGAAAAAAAATAAATAAAAAAAAAAATCAAAAATTTTATAAAGTTGGACTAGCTTTTTTAACCGGTTATATGATTCTTGGTCTTCGGTCTTTTAACCAGTTCAGACCGGTTAAAAATAAACTATTAAAATAAGCTTTTAAATAGTTAAAAATGCCATCAGTTATTATTAATAAATTATTGTTATATATAATTATATAAATAAAATATAATCTAAATAAAATATCTAATTATATCGTTAGAATCTTTGAGTTGATATAAAGTCATATGCTAAGTAGCAAATACTTAATTATATGTTTGGTGCTTACATATAACTGTTCTGAATTTGAAAAAACCAAATTCTTTAGCATAAATCAAGTGCATATGTAATTAAACCAATATGTATAGAATACAGGTAGGTTAGCCATACCATAAAAATGGCAGTCTCTTGATCACCAACCTCTTCCAACCTGAAAACTCAGATTATGCATTACATTAAAATATTAACAGTTTTTTAAATTTACATAATATCTAACTTTAGTATTTTAAATACAATGAATTATTGCATTGAAAAAGGTCAGTAATCATAAGACTGCGACATTTTTATAGCACGACTAACCCACCTATAGAACACTTCAACCTCATATTGTGACTTAGGATGCTCTAAGCATCTTCCTGAGTGTGATTAGATAGTGATTGAGATGATGCACAATTATTACAATCAATGAATATAAAGATTGCGATCAATGATTGAGTGAACTTTTTTCCAACAAACAAAAAAAAAAAATACAACCATTCAACAAACAAAAAAAATATTACCATTACTGACAACTTCAAATATATCTGTTCCAACTACTTCGTTTCTGCTACTTCCTTAGCAATTCCAAATAGTTCTATTGTCCCTTTACCTAATTACAATACTTTTGTTGTTTCTTTTATATTATTATATGCTGTTACAACAACAACATAATGATTCTTCTGCGCCACTATTTAATCCTTTAGTTTTAAATAGAACTAATAATGAATATGAAAAAGTATATATTGAATTTTATTTTATTTTTTATTTTTTATTTTTTTTGGTATTAAGGTGAGATCTTGCTCATATTGAATTTTATTTAAATTTGTAATTTTTTATAAAGAATTAATAAAAAATTTTTTAAGTATCTCTTTTAAAGTCATCTGTTAGTGACAATAATCAAACTTCTACTACTGATAGTAGTCAAGAAAATTTACAAGTTGTAGATGAAATATCAAGTTCATTCGACGCTAATACTATTTCAGGAAATAAACCAAATAATCGATGGACATCATCCGAAGATAACAATTGTCAGTTATTTTTTGGGGTAATTTGTTGTTGACAGCAAAGATCCATATTGTTAGAAGTGTATTTAGAGCAAAGTATAATGATTCGATCGGGGGGGGGGGGAGATTTGATCATAAAAAAAAAATAATGGTTCAATCGTAAAAAAAAAATATGGCTTGATCATAAAAAAATAATGATTTGATCATAAAGTGCTTGAATAATCTCACTCTATGATATATTTTGGCCAATTAACGCAGCAGCTTTATAAAGAAAAAAGATAATCACTAACCATCTTTTTTTTGACTGCGGTGATAAACTTTCTTGACTGGCTGAGCTAATTTTTATTAATTAAAATTTATGTACCGATTTATTGATTGAGGCGCTTTAGAACACCCTTATTAAATTTTGACAATGCTTAGTTCTAAAAGCTAATTTATTGAGGCCTAAGAATTAGCAAAAAATTAAAAACTAGAACCCGAGCAACGCCGGGTCCTACGCGCTAGTTATCATATATATATATATATATGTTTAAATATAAATTTAATAATAAAATACAAAAAAAAAAAGATAACCAAAAAATTGTATCTTAATGAGCTGCGATAGCGATAGGGTATGAACTCTCGGTTCCACTTTTGATATTATTTCCTACCATGGTTTCTAATTCAATATCAGTACCATTTTCTCTCCACCAAGCACCGACAATTGCGGATTTTTCAACCTGTTCATCATCATTTATAGAAACTCTTAAATGTCTACCCTCTTCCTTATTAATACCAGGTTCACACCCTTCATTAGTATTATCACACCTTTTTCTTTCACTATCAACATCTATAGAACAAATATATCCACCAGTAAAATTTTCATCATTGGCCCGTTTGATCATTTCAACACCTTCTTTAGCGAAAAAAATACTAAATATTAAAGCTGCAGCAGAATCAGTCCACCACAAATTTACCCAAATCATATAAATTAAACTACTACAAAAAAGTACAGCGGTAATCTTAATACAAGCCAATGAACATTGAGAATCATATAACATAGTTGAAGAATTTAACTTTATAGCCAAATATCTTTTAAAAGTATAAACTATTAACATGAGAGAGATTGATAAACTTGAAATTATTAAACCTGCAGTTGTGTTCTCAGGATGATTTTTCTGGGTTAATGTAATGATTGAATGTAATAATGAACCAGTAGCTAATATAATGAATAAACCACCAATCCCAAATATTTTAGTTGCTCCTTTGGATTTTCTTCCAATTCTTTTCCAAGAATATTTACCATGTTATTGTCACAATCTTTTTAAAAATTCTACTCTTTTGAGAATTCTTTCTTCTGCCAAGGCCTTAGGTGAACCCGAAATAAACGTTTCTGACATAGATTTATCCAATAACTGAAAGTTCACTGAAATTGGATGAGAATCCTTCATTCTTAGGGTGTAGGGAAGTATCAAGAAATAATGCTGATTATATTATTGTTATGAAGTGTGCGTCAAGAAGCTCTTTATGACAGAATCTTGTACAAGTAGCACAATTAGGATCTTATACAGTATAGCATTGGATCCTGAGTCAATCCATTCACAGGAACTCGTTCATAGAGATTTACTCAGAGATTTACACAGCAGAAATATTCCGTAGCTTGAGTTACAAAATGCATATATCACATCTCTAAAGAGTAAAGGAAGGAAAATTTTGTGGAATTCTATCATATGTAGCACCTGAGATTTTGATGAGTTGATCAGACATTCAAGCATCAGATATTTACAGCCTTGGAGTTTTCGCTACAAAGATTTTGAGCGGGCAAAGAGCATTTGAGCGAATCCTATCAAATGGTGAACCTGTATTAAAATTATCAGTAGATCAGGAGCTAAACTGGTGTTTTATCAACCTTTCCTATTCAGATGAGCTATAAGTCATGTAGTACTGGGATGTAAATAAGTACTGCACAGGAAGGAAAAAAAGGCAAGGTCGGGTGTTATCTCATGTTACCTTCGTATTGAGACATTGGTATACTGCTCCTAACTTATAATACTTTCATTCGTGGTCAGTGAGGGCTGCAAAGAAAGACCAACCTTTGTATTGATCCTGCTCCTAATGTGTAATTACTTTCAGTCATGGTCAGTGAGGGCTGCAAAGAAAGACTAACCTTCGTATTGAGACATTGGTATTCTATTATTGAGTTATCGGCATTGGTCACAAATGTGATGTTCCATTTTTAACATTTATATTTAAAGATAAAATAGATTTTGCGTTAGTACTTTATCCGTTATAAACAACCAATAAAAAATCCAGAATTTGCTAACACATAGACATCGAGTGTACTATTGCTCCGTCTATAGTGTCCTTCGGACAACTAGATTTAGCTATTTATTAATTAATGTACATAGCTGCTATTTTGTCCTTTAAGCGGTAATTTAACTTTCTAGCGATAGGCTTAGTGTTATCGGACGATATCATTGAGGATGACATAATAGACCATACCTTGGCATTTAAAATGAAACCTCTCTAAATGCATTCTTAAATTCTGTTACATATATGTACTTGACTCCCATAAATTACCGTAAATGTGCATATACAACCATGAATTAGACCCGGCTGCGAACCACGGAATCTCTATTAATTAAATGCGGTTTTTTTTCATCCTTCTTTATAATCACCAAGTTGGTTGTTTAAGGGTTTTTATAAAATAAAAAGTGCTTATAGCTTATAAGGAAGTATATTTTTATAAGTTTAATAGTAATTCGTTTTTAAATTCAACCGTGATACTTTTACGAAATAACCTCTCGGAATGTACTAGACCCGGGTTTACTAAAGGGTTTAAAAATTGATGGAATGAAATAGACCCGGGTCATACCGTATTTTCTTGAAATAACGCACGGGGTATAATTTCGAAATTTGGCCCGAATTCGGGCCAAAATTCAAAATAACGCACCTGTGCGTTATTTCACGAAAATACGGTACGCACATTTACGGTATTCTCTAAATGTATGTTACAATGAAACCTTTTTCGCATGATGACGAAAGACGAAACCTCTGACGAAAGTCGAAACCCCAAATTCTTCTGACGAAGACGAGTCCTTAAACTTAAAATGACGAAACCTTACGCTCAAACAAAACCAAAATTTAGTACTCCCGCTAAAAAAAAAAAAAAAACACAAAAAGAGAACAATCGTTATTTTCCAGCAAAAATAAACCAGTTCATTTTTTCTGAACAACGCTAGGGTTGTTATAGACCAATTGAATAACTTTAATACATACTGCTGTACTGGCTCAAAATAAGTTTGTAAATCACAAAGTAAGCACCAAGCGATTTCTCACTAGAACTGATATGTAGTGTACTAGTATATAAAATATTCATTTTAAACAATTCAAGCGCCTATTATATACTAAAATTTTTATAAATTTCTGTATTTTCATAAATTTCTGTATTTGTTACCCTTTACAGTTTCGCCACCTTTCATCAGTTTCGTCATTTAAGATTTTAATTGACGAAAGACAAAATTAAGTTTCGCGTTTCGTCAGCGCGAAACCTCGAGGTTTCGTCTAACAACTATAGCACAGCCTCTTCAAATGTACTTTCAAATCCTGACCAAAATATATACTTGCTTTCATAAATGCACTTTTTCTTATTGTTCTCTAAAATGCGCTTGACTGTAATTAGCTATTTCATTAAAAATGAAAAAGAACTTCTGATTGAGCTCAAGTCAAGAATATAACTTTAGAATGAATCAGCTAGTTTTAAATCAGTTCAAAACAAGCTTGAAAATCAAAATACGTGTCAAATTTTCATTATTGTTAATACAAAGTATGCTAAATCGATTTAAGAATGAAGGTAAGTAGGAACAAATTTGTGTAGTTTTTAATGATACAGTCGGACCTCTATAGTCACCTCCTATATATGCACATTTTCTTTATAAGCATATTTTTTAAAAACCGAACTATATATTATTAAATATAATAAATTTGACCTATAACTGTCACACTTCTCATCCCGAGTGTGTGATTATAGAGAGGTCTGACTGTGTAAATTCTCGAAATAAATGACGGGCATCTCTGCGTTATTCATAATCATCTTCGCGTTATTTGATCACCGCGTTATTTTGAATACGTCCACGTGACATTATTCCGACAATTTCAAAAGACCAATTGTTACTTTATTATAAATCTGCTGATATATTTCATGAGTGCGCGGTATTTTGGGACGCGTATGAGCGTAATTTTGTAGAAATGTACCGGGTATTTTTCTTTTTCTTTGCCAATCTTCGAAGTTGTTTATCCATAGAATGTTTTTCAGGAAATAGAAGTACTGCTTTTTATAGAAACTAACCGTTCGTAGGGGATATACTACAGTCAAACCTCTCTATAGTCACCTCCTATATAAGCACATTTCTTTATAAGCTTATTTTTTAAAAAACTTTTTATTATTAAATATAATAAATTTAACCTCTATAATTAGCACACTTTTCTATAATCACGCTTTTTTGTATCCCGTGGGTGTGACTATAGAGAGGTTTGACTGTATCTAGTTTACGGTAACATATAATGCTTGAATTATAAATTTAAAATTTTTCTAGATAAGACTAAGTTATTATTAGTCTTAAAAGAATGTTGGTTACAAGAGATAAATTTTATTAATTATAGTCTAATTCTACCGTTCTATTTATGAGAGAAGTTTAACACTACATTTAGAGAGAGACCAACTATAAGATGCGCAAGTGTACAGAATCAAAATCTCTCTGGCGCGGGTTGATTAGTTAGATATAATACTAACCGATTTAGGCTAGTACTGTATTTTGCTAGTACATACAGTAAATTTTTAGATTACCTCTTTGACCTGTGTACATTATAGTTAAGATTGTTTAAATATTTGATAAAGAATAATTCAATTTAGACACAATTTTACAGAACCATGTTATTTTAAAAATGCAAATCCAAGAAATGTATTAATAAAAATTTTTAATTTTTTAATTTTTTACGTGATTTTTTTCTTTTATTTTTAGTCATTTTGGCTTCTTGATTTACAATATTTGCAGCAGTTTCAGTAAATTTTCTTTTTTTCGTAGAATCTGGATTTTTAACACTAACAACTGATAAGTTTGATTTCTTTCCTAATGTTAATGCTTTTATCTGTGATTCCGCAGCCTCCCAACCTTCTGCTGATCCGCCTATCGCATATCTATAAAGACAATAACAAATCCAATCAATTGATGATAATTTAATGGAATATATAAGTATTAAAAAAGAAAAGAAAAAAAAGAATCACTTTGACAAGTCCAGTGAATCAATCAATTCTCTTTGTTTTTCTTTCAACTGTTTCATAACTTCATCACCAGCTTCATCTAAGTCTTCGCTTAGGGTCTTCGATACAGGATCCCATGCTGCATCATCATCTATTTGAGGATTCGTTACATTTTCCTCAATTGCAGTAATTTCAGTTGTAGCTACTTTTTTCTTTATGACGGTTGTTTCATGTGGAATTTCTTCCTGAATCGCAGATACTTCCAAAGAACGAAAATATGTAGAGAATTTACGAATAATTTTCATAAATAATGCGAGAACTTGTGCTGCTGGGAGTGTAAGTTCTTTCTAATATGTGAAAATATAATAGTAGAATAAAATATATTACACCAATGATATAAGGCAATCCAAATTATCTTAGAAATCATAAAATGAAATACCTCCAAATCATCAATACTCTTTCTTTGTAGACCTATACCCAATAATATCGAACTTTGCACACCAGAAAGCACCACTTCTTTACCAAATTGTTTCCCAAAATATAAATGAGAAATTGTAGGGATAAGATCCAATATAATATGATAATCCAACATATTATTTGAATATGATTCAAGACGTTTAAGATCATAAACAGAAAATTGCGAATCAAGCATATCTTTTGCAAATTCTAATTCACACATTAACGATCAAAAAGAATAGTCAGAGATACATATATTTGCCTTTAAAAAAGTCTATAAATGTTGGTAACTCACTCTGCTCTTTATTATTTAAATTTTTATAACCAGCATCGGCCGTTTCCATAATGCTCAACGATAAAATGCTAGGAAAATTCCTAAATTGGTAAGACAGCAGATTCAAAAATCTCTTATGAAAATCTTTTGAAAATGCTGCCAACCACTCTTGATCACATGTGGTTATAAGACCGTCAGATTTTAAGGCCTTAAGCATAACACAGGTATGTTCTCCAGTTAGATCATTTGGAGTTTGTCGTAAATAAAGTGGGATAAACCCTGCTCGCTTCCAAAATTTATTTAAAGGTGGTGTCAAACCATAAGAAACACCAAGATAATGTAACAGAACCGGTCGTTTCTCTGAAAGTTTTAATAGTAATGGTGGCATTTTGTGAGGATCTCGAATTTTA